CCCCAAAACCCCAAAACCCCAAAACCCCAAAACCCCGAATAAAGAAGGGATGTTGATAAATATTAAATATGAAAGATATTGAAGTTGATAGCGAGAGCAGCGAGTCTGAAATTGATGAGAATGATCCATTAGCTCCTCAGTTACATTATATTAGAAGGCAAAAACAGTTAGAAAGAGTAAATTATAACAAAATTTAGTTGTTTGTAGGCTAATTTTGATGTAGGAAAAGAAAAGAAGCAATAAATGGGTGATAAAAGCACTTAAAATGGGGCCTTGCTTGAGGAAAATCGAGACCTTTGGCAAATATTTGCTGATTCTTGGAGTCTTGGGAGTACTTTTGTACCTTAGCAGTGACAAACTCACAGAGTTTAATAAATAAAATGACAAAGAAGTACCAGAACAAGGAAGATTCTATGTGGGACGATGACACTAGTCAGAATACATGGATTTTCCAGATGTATATAGACCTTTTGTCAAAGAATTTTAGCATTTTTGCTTTAAAAGAGATGAGCTTTTACATAATCCTTACAATTGTAATTCTCATTGGATTTGGATACTTGAGCTACGAAAATCACCAGTATGACCTTCAAATGGAGGTATTGGAGAACCAACAGAGAGAAAAGAATGAAAAGAATAAAGAAAGCAAAGTTGATTTAACTAAGAAGAATAATTAATGATAAATTCTTCTGCCTTCTCAGCAAAAATCTAGTCCGAATTTATTTATTCCATTTTCTGTTATCTTTTTCCCTTTGTGAATTAATTCAAAATCTCCTGTGTCTATGTCTTTTTTGTTTGCTCCTTTTGGAGCCATCACGTAATCTGAAAGGATTTTTACAACAGATTGCATGACATTAGTGGCTAAGTGGGTGGTTACACCAGTACTAAACTCCATTGTTGGGCTCGAGTTTACTTCGATTAGCCATGGAGTCATATTTTCGTCAATCATAATATCATAACCCAACATCTCTGTTGAACCTTTTCTAGTGTCAAGGAGGTCTTGCACTGATTGGAGGGAATAAATAATGATGTTCTTTACTTTTTCCTTGATTTCTTCATTCCAGACATCCCTGCCGTATTGAGATTTTAGATAATCTGAGAGCTCTTCGATGTACCACATGTTCCCGTCTCCGATAACTTCAACGTTTTTAGCATACTTAGCTACTGAATTATTAGTCAAATGTACGAATCTATCTTTGAGATTTTCAGCATTATAGTCTGCAGCAGGGAATCTCACATAGGGTTTGTTCCAGAACCAGATGGTCAAGGGGTTGAGGTCAGATACAAACACCCAAATTCTTAAGTCAAATTTCCTTTGGTTGACGATCATGGGGTTCTCAATATACTTTTGAGCAATCCAGTTCTTCTCCTTTCCTCGAGTATACTCGATGATATCATCAAGATTGCTGAACACTTGGATGCCTCTTCCACGTGAGAGTCCAGCTGGTTTGATAATCCATATATTATTTTTCTCCATTTATGTGGAATTGGGGGAATTTTTGGCCAAGTCTCTCACAGATTGTATTTATGTCACTCATCAAGCTGGTTTGAGATGGCTTCTTCATATCAGGAGGGTTGTTTTGGACTACTTCTGGCTGATCAAGAGATTTCTCCTTCAGAAAGGTTTCTACAGGTCTCTGAGTCTCGATCATTGATTTCAAGACTTCTTTCTTAACCTGGGAATCTGTAAAGAACCCTTTAGTCTCTTTAACTGTGCTATAAAGTTTAGATTTCTCTATCTCAGGCAACTTCAGATTGACAATACTCGGAGATTTGTAGCTTGGATCTCTTTTTGAATTAAGAATATTTGGGATAGGCTTTGGAGACTGATGAATATTACTCCGCTTCACTGGGACTAAACTTGTCGTCTTCTTTCCCCTGTTGTTCTTTTTGGATCTTTTCTCGCTCTTCTTGAGTATTTTCCACTCATCATCTGAAATGAGACTTTTGAAAGGCTTATCAATAATATCGTCAAGTTCAAGAAGGTTTCTTCTACAAACTGTCATGGCGACGTCTAGCATGTCAGGGTCAACGATCTCTTTATTTTTGAATTTTTTCAATATTCCTTCTGCTTTACAAAGCTTGTAGTAGAGTAGGAATTCTTCCCACTCTCCTTCGTCTTTGAGTGCGAAGCATTTTGGGAAGAAGGTGTCAACATCAACGTTGTTAAAGTTAAGAACTTTGCCGATGTTCCTGCAAAGTCCTATTTTGGTGGTGATAACTCCATTATTCTTGAAATGGTTAACTACTTGGCCATCTCTCAGAGTGTCAAAGTTGATGTCCCTCTGCTTGATAGTCCACAGAAGGTCAAAGCAGGCACTGCTTTTGTCCATGTTCTCGATCCAGCCTTTATCATAAAGGGTATTTTTGATAGTCTGGTAGCCTCCAAACATCTTGAAAATCTTTAATTTTTGAGGCAACCTATTCTTTTTCTTCCATGTTTTCAAGTCTGTACAGTGAGGAAATACCCTCTTAATAGTTTTTGGAAGAGCCTTCTTCTGCCTTGATTTGGAACGAGCTTTCTTCGAAAGCTCGTTCTTGAGAATTGGTTTTTCTGGGACCTCTTCTAGTTGATGAGACTCAGATTTTTCAAGAGTTGCTTTTTCAGGAGTGAAATTTGGATTTGAAAGGGTCTCTTTGAGAGTTTCATGACTAGGAGTTTTAAAGATCTTAGAATTTTCATGTCTGTTAGGTTTTTTTTTCTCTTCTTTTTCTCACAAATCTTGATTATTTTGCTGATGATTTCTCTGCTCCTCTTTTTGGGAGTCTAATTTGTCCTTTAAATTCTCTATGGAATCCTTTGTGGGAGGAGGCTTCACTTTAGGTGTAGTTTTCTTTTCAGCTTCTTGGTCCTCAATGACAATGTCCTTGCTATCTGGCTGATTCAGCATCTTTTTGAGGTTTTCAATATTCTCTTTCTGCCTTTGAGCTATTTGTTGTTCTTCTTGCTCTCTTTTAGTTTTTAACTGATTAATTTCAGCTTGCTCAGCCGTTTCAGGGGTCTTTTCTTCAGGGATTGCTATTGGAGGCTTCGAGTATTTTCTGTATTTTAGGTTAGGAGTGCAACTCTTCTTCTTTCTCCTTCCATGAGGCTTCTTCCTAACCCGACCAGGGAAGTACGCTTTCTGAAGATTGTTGATGGGGACTTGGTTCATATAAGGGCTCTTATCGTTTCAGGTAAGTTTATTTATAGTTAATCACAGATTTTCCAGCAGTGCTGAGATTCTTACTGCTGGTTGGTTTAAGTCTACTATCATCCTTACTAGCTTTACTAGATTTTCAGTGAAGTTCATTCTCTGAGGAGTCATTTATGCTAGCTTGGAGGTTCTGTTTATGAATTCTCTTGTATTCTTCGTACCCCTCAGCGACCTTGTTGTAGACTTCACTGGGCTGTTTCCTGGATCTGAAGACGTTTCCTGTCTTCTTGCGGCTTTTCTTATTACTTTTTACCTTGGATCTTTTTTGAAAATGAGCATTATAGAGTAATATTTCATTCATTGGAATATTAAAATAAATTTAAAATAGAATCAATCTATTTATTTACTTTTGGGGTTTTGGGGTTTTGGGGTTTTGGGGTTTTGGGGTTTTGGGG